GGCACTTGTTTTATAAGATGTGGCTTGTTTTTTTGAAATTTACTTTGTTACCTTTCGGTGTTGGACTTGCCGAATTAACAAATATATCCCACGATGCCGTGTGCTTGTTCAGTAATAATTCACAGATGAAGTCTAAAAGTGGTAAGAACAAAAACATTGGCACACGAGGCGCAGCCGGATGTGCAACAGGTGTTCGTACAACAGTTTTTTCACAATCGGTTATTTTACAGACCCGGCACCCCGACATAAAATATATTTGTTTTGTATGATCAAAAAAGTAAAGAGTTGTATGTCCTTAACAGATCGTAAGGAAGAACCAGTAAAAAATCATATATCTTTCAACTTATCACATAATTGATATCAGGTATTAGCTGCTATTGTTATTTATTTCGATTGACACAATTCGATCCTTGTTTTGCTTACAGGAAAAGTCTAAAGGCCTGTGTAGTTCTATTCCCATTGCTCGGCCTCACATGGATTTTCGGGATTCTGACCGTCACAGACGCTGGGCTGGTCTTCCAATATTTGTTTACTATCTTTAACTCTTTACAAGTGAGTCAAATGTCCAGCATGTGTAAGGCATTGTCACCAAGACTAGAAATTGTAAGCGTTTCAGCCGTCAATTTCTCGATAGGCAGGATTATGGCTAAGAGGTGTCGGTCACGAGTATCTTCAATATAATTTTTTAAGAGGTTTCGTGAAGGATTAGGAAGAAACCGGAGTGATTTAAGTGTTTAGAAGTGACGAGTTGACAGGAGTAAAGGTTCTTATTAATGGCAGTGCACAGAAAACGATCCCCCGGGACTGCAAACCCTGACCTGTCGATGAAAGTCGAGTTCCTCGAGCAAAATTACATCCACAGGATTACAGAACTATTTTCTTCGACAGACTTGTGGTGTTACTCTTGATGACTAAATATAGTAGCAGCAGCTCTTAATTTAGACCTATCGAGGAAATTGCTCCACGCTACCGAAGCTAATATCGCGTTTTCCTTAGCCTGAGCGCGGCTTTGAATATCGATACTCCTCTAGTGTGAAGTGCCTACTTCATCGCATTAACCCCTAAGTGCATTCCAGTGTAGGGTTGAGAGTGACTTGTGAGAGACAATGCGGAGCACAGCTTAAAAACCCGGCTAAGGCTCCTCGATTCCTTGAACTAAACAACAGACAGGCGCATGCGTTTCTAACCTTAGTAATGTTTTTCTTGCCATTGACAGGGTTTGTTCATCTTCCTGTTTCATGTTGTGCGAAGTAAAGAAATCCGAGCCGCCTTAGAGACAAAAAGGCAAAGATGGGAAATATCGAGAAGTGTATCCATGGCGGCAAATGAAAAATCAACGCTCGGCACAAGAAGATCGAGTGCAGCGAAGGAAAAACGACTTTTTACGCTCGTGAACAAGATTCGTCCTGAGACACAAGAGAGTATCAGTACTTCATTTACCACTGTTTTATAAGTTGTGATTATTGTATATTGCTCAAAGCAATATCACTAGACCAAAAAATAGGTTTGGAAATCTAGATCTTACCCAACTTTACCCATAATTTTTAAACTGATTTCTTGCAGTTCACAGACCAGTCTGCTTAGCCATCCTCGTTCCTTTCCAATTTTACCTCGAGCTCCTTATTTTTAATATTATATTATCTTGAATACTTTAAAAGAAATATAAAGATTTAAGTACAGTGGTTTCCTTAACACTTTCACGCGCAACATCGATATACAATTTCCCTGCATTTTTTGCAATAATTTGTCATAATTTTTCGCTCTGAGAATTTTGTTGTCGTCAAACAATATCCCCCAACTGGTATTTATCTTATTACTCATCATATATCTGTTT